CAAGGGTGGCGCTTCTTGACATGGGCCTGCGCGGTGACTTTTTGGATATGACCCAAAAAGCGCAGGCAGAGAAAGCTAAAGCAGATGAGGGGGATGCACCAACTGAGGCTTCTGCACAGAAGGGGACTGAGGAGCTCGCAGGGAGGGGATGGGGGGCTGGGTGTGGAGGGGGAAGCGGTTCCAGGCTCCACATCAAACAAGGGGCTGACAGCCCGAATGCATGAGGCGCTCTGACAACCAACAGCAAAACACTAAAAACCCGGTTAAAAAACAGGCCAAGGGCGTGGCTGTGTCCTTCTCCGAGAAGACACACACAGAGGCCAGCAGGGGCTCAGCATCGCTGTCCCTAGGAAGCTGCGAACCAAAGCCACAGGAGATGCCACTGGACACCCGCCGGGGTGGCTGTGACCCAAACAGCAAAGGACGGCCGTGTTGGCGAAGACGCGGCTGAACTGCAGCCCCTGCACGTTGCTGGGGGGATGCAGGATGGCACGTCGGCAGTAGACACTGGCACAGAGTTGCTTTACAGGCGAGAGCCTGCAGTCCCACTTCTGGGCATCTGTCTAGAACTGATGCCAGGGTCTTGGAGAGACGCCCACACCCACGTCCCCTGTGTGCCAGGTGCAGCGAGCCAGAATGTCACACCAGATGTCCACCCACAGACAGAGAGACTGCAAGACAGGGGCCAAGAGAGGCTGGTTATGGGGACGCATGCAGTCAGACAGTAGAAGCACGCGCCAGAGTTCAAGGACGGGCTGGGCGACTGTGGCCCACAACGATGTGCTGTTCGTTTCACAGCAGGTGGAGAGGATGGGTGTGTTCCAACACATGGGAAGAACGCATACTCGTTGCAATGGACACCCCAGATGCCCCAACTCGATGATTATACATTCTATGCATGAGCCCTACAAATAGGCACAGATATCACGTATCAGTGAAAAAGGATTGCCTGTGATACACACACACACTGGAATATTATTCAGCCTCAAAGAAGGAGCTCGTAATATCTAACATGGGTGAACTTTGGGGATGTGATACCAAGTGGAATAAGCCAGTCGCAGAAGCACGAACACCGCCTAACCACACTTACACATTAACATGAGATAAGTGCAACCATCTCAGACTCAAGGAAGCAAAGAATAGGAGAGCGGTGGCCAAGGCGGAGGGACAGAGGGACAGGGTGTCTCGTCGCAGGGGATGTCAGGGCCACGCAATGAGTGAGTTCAGGTCTGCCTGCAGCGGGGTCCCTGAAGACAGTGCCATGCTGCATGCCCACAAATCCACCAGGGGAGCGGGTCTCACATCAAGTGTTCTTACCACAGGGAGATGGAAAACAGAAAGTTAGAAGTATAGAAAAGGGAGAAGCTCAGGCTGGGGCTTCCAATCCACCGCCATCCGTGACCTGGGCGCTGAGTGGCGGGGCAGCGTCAGAACTAGGCAAGTTCACGAAAACCGGGAAGGGTGTACTGGTCCTGGCCAGATGCTCTTCGGGACGCAAAGCCGTCACTGTGAAGAACATTGATGATGGTGCCTCAGACAGCCCCTGCTGCCGTGCTCGGGCGGCTGGAATTGACCACCATCCCACAAAGTGACAGCTGCCATGGGCAAGAAGATTGCCAAGATGTCGAAGATCAAGTCTTTCATGAAAGCTTACAGCTCCAGTCACCTCATGCCCACAAGGTGCTCTGTGGAAATCCCCTTGGACAAAATCGTTGTAGACAAGGATGTCTTCAGAGACCTTACTCTTAAACGCAAGGCCCGACGGGAGGCCAAGGTCAAGTTCGAAGAGAGGTCCAAGCTGGGCAAGAACAAGTGGTCCTTCCAGAAGCTGCAGCTTTAGATTTTTTTTTGTTGTTTCAGTCATTAAATATTTTTTAAATAAAAAGAAAATATAAAAAAGGTTGCAAAGAGCTTGTTGAGCTGAGGTGGCAGCAGACAGGAGGGCAGGGAGACCCACGTGGCCATGCGCCACCGAGGACACCCTTTGGTCGCCTTGAGGACTTTCAGCGGAGGTGACTGGCCCTCATGTGCGACAGCGCTGTGGGGGGGCTCTCCTCTAGTACTGGAAGGTGGGTCTCGATAGGCAAGTCAGTTACGGCCACGGCGGGGTCAGGTCCACAGAGACGCCCAGGAACAGGCCACGCACTTGCAGCAGGGAGGGGGCCACAGAGCTGCCTCTGGCTCTGGACACCTCCACACGCTGGCGGGACCAGCTTCAAGGACACAAGTCAGGCCTGGGTGGGAGCGTGCCTGAGAGGCCAGGGAGGCAGTGGAGATCTGAGACTCAGGGTCTCCAGGAGCGGGCGAGGCAGCAGGCCCATCCCAGGGTCCCCATCTCTTCTCAGGATCCCGTTTTGGGGAGCTGAGTGCTCTGCGGGACAGAGCCCTAAACCAGGAACTCAGGAGCTCTAGCCGTGTGCTCCCAGGCCTTCAGCCCCCTCAGGGACCATGTGCTCCATCCTTGGGCCCCATGGCTGGGGGACCAGTTGCTCCTGAGAGCCCCGTGCCTTAGAACGGGCCCTGGCACTCTGTGAATGCCCACCTGTCCTGGGAGTGCTTGGCTCTGTGTGCTACACACCCGCCCCATACCCTCGGAGAGGCAGCACCAGCCTCCTCTGTGATGAAGACGCCAAAGCTCAGGGCAGGTGTCTCCCCCAAGATGGCACAGTTACCTATCCAGAGCCAGGCTTTGGACCAGGCAGCAGCTGGCCCCAGGAAAATGCACGGGTGTGGCACGTGGGCTCTAGTCTCTTCTTTTACAAGATGGTGACTGTCTCGGGTGGTCTCTGTACTCTTCAGGTTGGCCATGGGCACAGGTGGAGTGTGTGTTTGGCCAACTGTCCTGAAAAGTGAATGCATCAGACGAGTGGCATGATTTCTTTTCTTTCTTTTTTTTAACTTGAGTCGTGGTCCTCACTCTGTCGCGTAGGCTGGAGTGGAGTGGCAAGATGCGGGCTTACCGCAGCCTCAACCTCCTGTGCTCAGGCGATCCTTCTGCTTCAGCCTCCTGAGTAGCTGATACTACAGGCATGCGCCACCACGCCCAGATAATCTTTATGTGTTTTGTAGAGATGAGGTCTCTCCATGTTGCCCAGGCTGGTCTCCAGCAATTCTCCCACCTCAGCCTCCCAATGTGCTGGGATTACAGGTATGAGCCACCGTTCCCGGCTGGTGTTGTTTCTTATTTGCAACAGACCTCCCAGCACCTTCTGGACCTCACCTGACGGCCTGCACCCCCTCAGGCGGTGGCAGATGTGTCCCAGGAGCAGAGTCAGATGGGCTGTAGTCTTGCCTCCTGCTGGGGTGCAGGTGACGTAACACCAGGAGGGGTTTCCCTGACAGAACAGGTATGCTGGGGTGGGTCAGGCCACTGCTCTAGGGTGGGTAGGTGGTGCTGGTAAAACATCCCCAGGGGATGCCAGGGGCTAAGCGTTCTGAGCCCAGGACCCCTAAGAGCGAGACAAGGGCTGGTAGGCCGCTGGGTAGTCACACATCTGAAACCATGTGCCTCTGCAGAGACGCAGGCTGGCGGGTGGGTGGCAGAGGCGTGTGGGCCACAGGGCACGGGACAGGCCTGCGGCCCTCGTGGGTCTGCAGGGAGCACGACTGCTCCCTGAATGATGCTTGGAAGACACTTCCCAATAGCCCCGCTCTCCAGTGCTCTGCTGGAGTCTTTCTTTCAAAACAGGCACCCCCTTGCCCCCGCCTCCCCTTCAGCCAAGGAGTCCCACTGCCGATCACCGAATCGCTCTCAAAAGACAGTCCTGCACCTGCCCTTGCCTCTGTGATACCACGCCCATGATCTCCTTGTTGCCAGACCCAGGCGCTCCCCCGTCCCAGCCCTTGGACTCCCCAGGGCCTTCCTCTCTGTGTCTGGTCCCCTTGGGGGGGAGGGACACCGAGAGTGGGGACTGGCTCGGGCACCCATGAAGGACCGCCCACCACGCTTTCCTAGAGCCTGCTCTGCCACTGCTGCCCTTGCTGCCCCCTCTTGGCCTGCCCACGCCTCTGTCGACACCCTCTTCCTGGGCAATTCTGGCTGGTCCCTAAGTGCATGACAACACAGCAACCACCTTCCACCTGACCACCTGACCGACTGGCTCTTGGTTTCCAGCATCACATGGTCAGTCTTTCCCTGGCGAGCGCCCTCCCAGGAACAGTGCCCAGGTTGAATGTCAGAACTGTGTCCAGCTCCCCCTCCACACTCCACGTCGGCGAGTCCTGGTGGTGCAGACTACAGAAACACCTGGCGCCTGCACCATGGGCCGCTGACCTCATGCTGGACGACGCCTGCAGCCCCAGCCCCCTGCGTATCTGTGGGGCCGTGTCCAGGCCCCCCACCTCATGCTAGATGGCACCTGTTGCCCCAGCTCCCTCCACACCCGTAGGGCTGCCTCCAGACCAGTGGCTTTCTGCTGGCTGGCACCTGCAGCCCCAATCCCCTATACACTGCAGGGCCACGTCCAGGCCACCGGCCTCATGCTGATGACACCTGCAGCCCCAGCTGGACCCTCAGCTTCCCACTGCCCCCTCAGTCCTCTGCCCTGAAGCACCCGGGGACCTACAGTCATCACCCGAGGGACAGACACCCCGGGGGACCTGCAGCAGTCACCCGAGGGGTTGGTGTCCTGGGAGGTCGTGCCTCTCAAGGCTCCTGGTTATGCTCTTCTTCTTCGGCTGGTGTTCAGAAGAAACTACGCTTTCTTATCACGCATAATTCAGCAGCAAACCCACCCACAAGCACTCACGGACGAGGGCTTCCTGCAGCCCTTCCCTTTGGGCCAACCTGGTTCAGGAGCAGCGGCTCGGGGGTGGCGGTCTCCTGAGCAAGGGTGGAGCCCTGCGTCAATTGCACGCTCCACGGTGCCTATGAGCCCCTGCAGTGTCGTCTACAAGGCCCTGCAGCATCTATACAGCCTGCAGCGTCTAACAGCCTGCAGCATCCAACAGCTCCACCGTGCCGTGCCACAGCCCTCAGCGTGGCACGCAGTGGCTCTTACCTCGCGCAGGCAGGTGTAGATGGGGCCCACGAGCACGCGGAAGGGCTCGCCCGTGCTGCTGCGCATGGCACCGAAGACCTCACACAGGAAGGTGATGAAGCCCAGCCAGCGCTCTGCGTCCCGCCGCTGCAGCTCGCCACGCGCTGTGAAGTCCTTCTGTGGAGGCAGAGACTATGTCAGTGTCATGGGGGACCCTGCTGCCTCGGTGGCCCCGCTCCAGCCAGGGAGGTGAGGATGGGGACCACCCTCCCTGGCTGGGACACATGCCCCCTCCCTGGCTGAGGACACATGGTCCCCTCTGGCCACCGCCCCGACCTGCTGCAGGTCACCCTGCGTCCCTGACCCCAGTGCTGAGCTGGGGACAGCTGGAGGGGTGGTGCAAGCTCCTGGGACTCAGCACTCTCCCCCTCCTGGGGCTGGCCACCTACCCCGACGACCGTGAACACGCCCTCCATGTCTGGGAGGGGGAGCAAAACATGCCTGCCCATCGCACACAGTCAGCAGCTGACAACCAAGGCCCAGCACCCCGGCACAGGCAGAGACGCAAGCCACAGCTCCTGCCTGCACGGGGCCCAGAGGCAGTAGGAAGGTCATAGGCGTGCATTCACTCATTCATTCACCCTCCATAAAAATATGACTGCCCACTGCGTGTGCGGCCCTGCACCAGCAGTTATGATAAGATGTGTTCACTCGTCACTGGGACACCCGCGAGTGGGAATGGAAGGCTGTCCGAGAGTTCTGGAACAGGGACTCTGGAAGCTCAGCCATAGGCATCGAATTCCCAGTTGGACGTCGGGGCCTTGGATGGGGCTGGGATTCTGAGCCGGGAACACGGGCACTTCAGAGAGAGTGGCTGTAGAGAGGCAGGCGTGGACAGGATGGCAGGGTGTTCGGAAGGGAGAGAGAGGCCGCCGGCCTGGCCCAGCACAGGCCCCAGGGCACAGGTTGTGGCTGGAGTGTGGAAGGCAACAGCCAGCCTAGGTGTTGGGCTCTGTGGCATGAGCACCAGGGCAGGTTTGGGGGACCATGGAACGCCACGGCCACCTACGCTCTCAGGAGAGGCTCACATAGCAGGTAGGAGGACCGGGCAGTAGCCCTTGAAACCTCCCTTGCGGCAGCAAGCAAGAATCCCAGCTCCCTGGCAGTTGAACGGTGAGGATTTGTGGCGGGTTCGGTGGTGTTCAGGTATGCATGCCAGAGGCCTTGGCGCTGGCTCGGGGGGCGTCTGTGTCCCGTGTGTGAGGAAGGTGCTCTCTGGAGGGTCTCCTGACCCCAGTCTCCTTGGACGGCGGGCCAGTGGCTGGCTGAGACCTCCAGGAAAAGCCTCTCCCGCCCCGTTTGACGTGTCTGGACCATGGCCACAGGTACCAGTTTCATCCACAATGGAGACGTACATGCGTATGTGTTTCTAGATCAGTGGCAAATCAACGCCTAATCAATATCTCCGCCCACAGGCAAAGCGCCAGCAGCAGCCGCTGCCCTCTGCGGGCCGGGCGCCGCACCAAGCCCCTTACTTACAATAGCTCATAAATCGTCTCAGCGGTTGCCCAGGCAGAACCTGTGGCCCATTGCATAGAGAGCGAGCCTCCGGGTGGCTGCGTTCCTGCCGGCCGTGGCTGGTGCTGAGGGCGGAGTAGGGACAGAGCCCAGGTCTGCTGCTCTGCAGGCAAGCTGGCTTATTTCTCCCGCATGTGTGTATGTTTTAATTTAAATAAAAGCTATTGTGCAGCCTAAGGTGGCCAGCCTGGTGTAGCGGCATGCATGGAGACAGAAGAAAGGTCACTATGGTAGAGCCACATCCGCCGGCTCACACGGTCCCCGTCTGAGTGGTAGGGGCCGTTTCCAGCCAGGGAAGCACCCAGGGCCCGCGGAGCCACACTCCAAGTCTTCGCTTTTTGCTAACCCTGGACACACACCCACGCTGCAGTCTTGGGCCTCATGCTTTCCCTCTGTCCTCCTGAGACCGCTCACCCCCCACGGCAGGATCCGCCTGTGCCTGGCCACGGAGGTCTGCTGTGTGCCCCTGGAGTCGGAGCTGGGGCGGGGTCAGCCAGCAGTCCTCGCGGAGTGGATGAGGAACATTCGTGGGACAGTCCTGCCCCGGGGAATGGGGCATTGTTCTGAGACCTCATGGAAACAGGCGGCGCTGAAGACGCTCGCCACAACCATCCAAAAATGAGTAAATGTAAACCCAAGCCCAGGCACGGCTCATACATCTGCAGGAAGAAAGACAACACGGACTCCAGGATGTGCAACAGGAATCCAGGAAGGGTCGTGATGAGTCCCCAAGACTCCCAGGCCAGTATGAAGAGCAGCGGGAGTGGTCAGAAGAGACCCTGCAGCCAGCACTGAGGATGCCAGACATGGAGACACAAGCCAGGGGGCGCCGGACACACCTGGGAGGTGGAGTATCAGGCACACGGACAGGAGGAAAACACAGGGAAGACAGGGACAGAAGCCCAACCATGTGTCACAGACACTCTCAGAGGATACGAGCACATGGGACAAAGCGGCCAAAGAGAAAATCCTTTTATCTGAAAACAGACACATCTTTAAAAAAGAAAAAAGTGGGCTCTTCAGGTAACAGGGTCCCGGTGTGGGAGAATCTTTTTTTTCTAATTTAAAGAAAAAAGAAAAATTCTAAAAACAGCTATGAAGGAACAACAGCAACAAAAATCAGGATGCTTATAAAAGATTCTTGTATCTGGTTGGCCTTATGCTTCTATATTTGATGCTAAAATTCAGGGAAATGGCGGCAGCATCTTCATGGGCTTGAGGGAAGAACACACCTCCAAGGGGAAAGCGAGAGAAAGGCTGCACACGTGCCAGTGTCTGAGCAGGTCACTGCCAGGCATGGCCTAAAAAAATCAAGTGATGCCACTGCTATGAAAACCAGGATAGCGATTCTTCAAACAACCAAAAATAGAAATGCTAAGTCATAAAGTGAAAAGTGACGAAACGCATCCCTTTAGAAGGAGGCATCTACACTTACGACTTTTATGGGTAAGTTCATTCAGACTTTCAGGAGATTAGATAGCTGCCTTTCTCTGGAAACTGACCCAGAACACAGAAGGAGAAGTGTCCAGCCAGTTCCCTGTAACCCAAATCTCGCAATCACAGCAAGCTACAATAAGGAAGCCTGCAAGCCAGGCTGTGAATAGGGGTGAGAGTCCAAAGAGAAAGAGGAACACGCAGACCCACTTTCAGCTCAGGGAGGCATGGGTGATTTGGCATCAGGAAATCTGTCAGCTTGTCTGTTACACCAACGGGCTGATCAGAAAACGGCAGCAGCACCCAGGACTCTTGGAAGGGAAGAGACAAAGTGATCGGATTACGTATATGGAAAACCCAAGAGAACCCGCCAGGAAAGTCAGCTCAGTAGCTAAGTAGCCAATTAATAAGATTAATTAACAAAACTAATATACAAAACCCAACTGCTTTCTTTTGCGGTAGGACTAATCCATGAGATATCTGAATGCACAAAAGCTCATTTATTAAAGCAATAAAAAAACAGTGACATTATTAAGAAATGTGCAAGATTTCTAAGATTAAAACCACAAAACTAAGCTGATTTGAGAGAACACCTTGAACATGTGAAGAAACACATAGTGTTCCCTGGTGGGAAGTCAGCATTGCAAAGATGGTGATTTTCTCCGAAATACTTCACGGGTTCAGCACCAATCTGCCCCAATGTGAACTATGTTGGGGGAAAGAGAAACAGGCCTGAAAAAAAATCATCCCACAAGTAATTTGAAGGAATAACAGGGAAACAGTTAAAATCAAAACAAAACAAGATCAGAAAGAGTTCTCTACTTTGAGCCCACGGTACAGCTTCTGTGACTGGAAGGCTGTGTAACCAACACAGCATGGACAACTAGAGGAGACATGGCACCCGAAAGGGGTTAAGCCTTAAAAAAAAGCCGAGAGCGGTGTCCACCTGTAGTTCCAGCTACTTGGAAGGCTGAGGCAGAAGGATCACCTGAGCCCAGCAGGTTGAGGCTGCGGTGGCTGTGAGCGTGCCACTGCACTCCAGCCTGGGTGACAGAGTGAGACTCCGACTCAAAAAAAAAAAGTAAGTTCTATGTCAGACCATAAATTACCAAGAAATATATGAAAAACAAATTCACTCAATATCCATAGCAATTACTTAAATGAAAAAAACCTTTTTCTTCCATTTCTATCAGCAAACCTGACAGGATGGTAACTATCAATGCTGGCGAGGATGCTGTGAGATGGTCACTCTTGTAATGGGCAGCGGACATGAAAACACCTTAAAGAAGTCTTAACATACTCTTATCGTTTGATCTAGTCTTGGCACTTCTGAGTAATTATCATCAGGAAACAATTAAAAATAACAGAAGAAATAAACGTGATGCACATACAAATCCAACAGCCTAGGCACTGGACAACTGGGGAATGGGGAGGTCCGTGTGACGCGTCGGCCATTTAAGAGATGTGTGTGAGGTTTACAGCAGCATGGGAGATGCTGATGGAAGGCTGCATGAAAAAAGCAAAACCAAAATTGTGTGCCACATAATCTCACCCGTGAATACATTTCACTTTTTTTTTTAATGAGAAAGATGAGAAATAGTCAAAGCAGCGGTGTTCACAGAAAATTAGGGAAGAAAAAAATAAAAAGCAAGGAACAAAGTCACTCGTAATTCTACGGCTGAGACCCAGCCCCTGAGCAGACAGGAAAGGGCGCTGAAAGGCAAGTCCCTCTAGCAGGGCTGGTTCTCCACAGCAGAATTATGGCTGACTTTGTGCTTTGCTTTTTATTTTTCCCTCCCTAGTTTTCTGTGAACATTTCTCCTATAATCAGGAAGAGAGTTACAGAAAGAGACATGGGCGCTGGCGACCCTTTCCTTGAAGCTTCCCTCCTGGCGTGACGGGCCAGTAGGCCGCAGTACCGCAAGGAGGGTGGGCGGGGGTGAGCACGCCCAGCCCTGTGTCTCCGCCGCCTTGCGGACCGCCAGCTCTTCCCCGGGAACAAGGAGCCCCTTTCTGCCAAGCGGGACGAGTCGGCCCGGGTCACTAGCTCAGCCCAGCCTCAGCCCCACTCGTCCAAGAGCAGCAAGGGGCCCCTGCGGGCGGCGGCCATGTCCAAGTCTGGTGCTTGGCTCAGGCTCTCATCTGCCTGGCAGGCTCTGTCCCAG